CCGCGGGGCTGACGCAGCTTGGGGTCCGCGCTGGCCCCTCCCGGCGGAGCGCGCACACGACGCCGGGGGACGTGGGGGCCCCACTCTGAGCATCTGTCACCGCGCGCCCGTGGGGACTCTGCCCCCGCTCTTCACACTCCGCTCCCCCTGCCAGCACTCCTCGCACGCTTCTTTTATTTGCCCTTAGTTTTCACAAACGCAGCCTTGGGAATTCTGAATTTCTTACAGGCTTAACATTTTTAACCTTTTGACAACACGTTCAGCGTATTTTTTCCTCTGAAGATAATGTATCATATGTTGTGGGTTCATTAGTGATTGGATGTGGAGGGTGAGGAACAAGGCTAATGGGTGAGTGGTGTGCCCTGGATCTTGAGTTAGTTTGCTGGGAGTTGAATCCCAGCACTGCCCCCTATAAGCTCTGCGATCAGAGGCGAGTGAGTTGGGTAATGGTATTGGTAGGAGTGCCCAGGATGGCGGGTGTTAGACATTTAGGGCAGTGCCTGGAGCGTGGTACGCACTAAACACTGATGTCAGAACAGTCCTTGGGGGTCTCTTATGAGAAGGGCCTATGAGAATAAAGATAGGTGAGGAAATTAAACTGAGAGATGGATGTGATTGTAATAGCTGCATTTTTTAAAAAAAGATTTTATTTATTTATTCCTGAGAGACACACACAGAGAGAGGCAGAGACACAGGCAGAGGGAGAAGCAGGCTCCACGCAGGAGCCCGACGTGGGACTCGATCCCGTGTCTCCAGGATCACGCCCTGGGCCGAAGGCGGCACTAAACCGCTGAGCCACCCGGGCTGCCCTAATAGCTGCATAATTGTATCTCTAACCATACATTAGGCATATGTCTCTGTAGGATTTCGGTAGTGGGTCTGATTTAGTTTCATTTATTTATTTATTTATTTATTTATTTATTTATTTATTTATTTATTTATTTATTTTTATTTTTTTGATTTAGTTTCTTTTATAACAGAGTTGGTTATAACCTGTTCCACCAGAAGAGAGGAGTAGGTACCTACATAGAGATGGCTATTTATTTTATTTTATTTTATTTTATTTTATTTTATTTTATTTTATTTTATTTTATTTTATTTTATTTTATTTTATTTGAGATGGTAATTTTAAACAGCTGGCTTTAAACACAAACGTGGTGCCAGAGTCTAAAACAACTTAATTAAGGTTTTTGGACCGCTGAATTAATAAACCTTTTTTTAAAAAAGCATATTTAGAGCTTTTATGAGATTTTTAGTGGCTCCCAAAAGATTAAGATCTTATGTCTGAGGACAGAATTTAGAATGTTCTTTGAACTACCTAGCTTTTTCCATCAAATAAAGAGGGGTGGAGTAAAAAATTTAAGGACTGATTATTATGGCTACCCTTGTTTTACATTTAAAGAGTATTATTTAATCAGATGTTTTTCTTCAAACCTGAGAAATCATTTACTGTAGAACTTGGGGACTTCATTAGCAAGTGAGTAACTTTGTAACAGGTGATGATATTCTATAATCTTAGGTCTAAGTGAAAGGACAAAACAGTACTTTGTATAACTTGGAATCCGGCAGATGGTGGAGGAAGCAGAGTGACTGTTAAGAGTAGAAAGATTAGTATTTACTTGGCTCCCAGCTTGGTAGATATTCACAGTGTTGAACTGGGGATGCTTTCTGGGATGTCCCAAGTTCTGGAATGCTGTGATGGGTCCACAGACTTACCTTCCCAGGCTTCCATTATGCTATCATTTGTCTCTTTTGTTTTGTTATTTTCTATTCAAGCCTGCTTCTGCCATTATTGAAGATATTACTTGTGTTCTTTAATTTTTCTTTCCCAAGTTGGCTTCTATTTAGTTTTCCTAGATTTCTGTTGAGTTGGCTTCCCAGTCCATAATACCCCTCTTACCTACTGATCAGAGGCAACTTGGCAGCTCTTGGTTGATTGTTCTACCATTTACATCTATACTATAGACTTCTGAATAGCATAATATATATTTTTATTTCTCTGTTTCCTTTTCCACATTTTAGACACTTCCTATGGGCTTTTCACTCTGTCCCCCAGATATCTGCCCACATATCATTTCCCTCTCTTTTTTATTTTTATTTTTCTTATTTTTATTTTTTTTTATAGATCTTTTCCCTCTCATTCTTCAAGGTCTGTTGTGATTTTTAGTTAAATGAATAGTTTGTTCATGTAATTATGATAAGGTACATATTTATGCATTTGAGCCACCTTTTTTGTGTAGTTTTATTCTTTGGAGTTAATAGTTGCTTTATTTTTTTGGTTTAGTTATCTGTGATGTATTACTAATTCTTTACCCAACCTCAGTTTAATTCTCAAGTGTGATCAAAGAAGTCACATAGTCCACCAATTTCAGCTTAAAATTTTTTAAAAAGTCTTTGTTCTGGAGCGTTCTTGTCTTACTCCCGCAGTCTGGGCTGGCTTCTTCTCTTTGCTAACAGTTCTAGCTCTGGGACTTGGCTTTATCATCATCTTGAGAATTACCTTTACTTCTTCCCTGTTTTAGACCTTGGTTTCTTGTAACTCAGTGTACTCTTGTTTCCTTTGTTTTGGTGTAGCACAATCTCCAGTTTGTTTAAGAAGGAATGGATGGAATTTTTTTTTAACATGATGTGCCTGAAAAAGTCTTCACCTAAAGTTTATAGTTGGTTATCAGATTCTAGGTTTGAAATAATTTTTCCTCAATTTTGAAAGTATCGCTTCATTTTCTGATCATTTTTTTAAAAAAAGATTTTATACACACAGAGGTAGAGACATAGAGGGAGAAGCAGGCTCCATGCAAGGAGCCCGATGTGGGACTCGATCCCAGGACTCTGGGATCACACCCTGAGCCAAAGACAGATGCTCAACTGCTGAGCCACCCAGGCGTCCCCATTTTCTGATCATTTGTATTGTTAGAAATCTGATGTGATTCTTGTTATTGATAGCTTGTAGGTTTTCTGGAAATTTCCCTTCAAAAACTCATTTCTTTCAGTTCTGGGACCTTGTGTTACTCCTTTGAGCATTTCTTCCCCATCCCTACCGCACACACACACCCTCCCCCCGCCCCCCCTTCAAAACACCTGGAAGCGGATTCTGGTTTGATCCTCCGTATCTTTCTCTCTTGCTTGTGTCTTCTTTTTGTTCTATTTTTAACCTTCTCTTCCAGGGGAAGGTGATTGGGGAACTCACCACTCAGTATCTAGACTTTGCTTATCTGTGTCTATGACCTCTGCCCTCATCCCTTATCAGGACTCTGTAAGTTTGGAGCTCATTGGTTTATACAGAGAAAATATCCATTTGCTTATATTTTTTGCAGGGGGTGTTGGGGACTTGGGGAGATGGGGAGATAGTGAGTCAATTGGCTGTGCAAGATGAGGGTTAATGTGGCATCTCTCCAGATCTGAATGTTCCTATTTTCAGCCCCACATCAGTTTTGATAGGAGTTTAAATGAATTTAAGTATTTGTTTACAATGGCATAAAGTGTCACGGAAAAAAGCAGTGACTGAATCATGGACTGACTGAATTATGAATAACATTGGCTCCTTTCCTTTCTACCTGTGTATCCTTAAACAAGGCATTTAACCCCCTCAGACTTAAGTTCTTTTATAAAATGAGCAGAATGGAGACAAGACTGTTAAATTTTCCAATTTTGTGCTTCTATATATTATTCTTTAATAATTGCTGTTCAGCTATCTTAATATAATCTTTAATGAGATATTTGGAAGCAAAATAGGCTGTGGAGTTGGTTTTTCTATTATGTGTTAACATTGTAACTTGGAATAATAAATCAAATAAAATAAATAAATAAATAAATAAATAAATAAATAAATAAATAAATAAATAAATAAATAAAAATTTAAAGAGTTTATTTATCCATGAGAGACACAGAGAGAGAGGCAGAGATACAGGCAGAGGGAGAAGCAGGCTCCATACACGGAACCCGACGTGGGACTCAATTCTGGGTCTCCAGGATCATGCCCTGGGCTGAAGGCAGCGCTAAACCACTGAGCCACCCGGGCTGCCCAGGAATTTATTTTTTAAAAGGAGGAAGAAAACTGTTCATTTTAATGCCATCTTGCCTGTTGTGCATTATTATTGTCAGAAACTACTTCATATCTCTTAAATTTATGAATTTGGGGAAGAGGAGGGAGGCTCTGTACCTCAATTCTGCTGTATTCCTTCTTTGCTTTCTAAAAGTATTTATGATTACAGTTCTAGTCCCCCTGTTTTTCTCAGGTGTTTGTTAGTCCTGAATGAAGATTGATTGCTTATAGTTCTTTTATAGTTATTAAAAATATTTTATTTATTTATTAGAGAGTCTGAAGCGGACTCCATATGAGTTGTAGAGTGTGATGCGGGACTTGATCCCACAACCATAAGATCATGACCTGAGCTGAAATCAGGAGTTGGAAGCTTAACTGACTATAGTTAACCCCTATAGTTCTTTACTTTTAAAATATATCCTGTAAAGGGATGCCTGGGTGGCTCAGCAGTTGAGCATCTGCTGTCAGCTCAGGGTTGATTAAAGAGTCCCAGGATCGAGTCCCAGATTGGGCTCCCTGCATGGAGCCTGCTTCTCCCTCTGCCTCTCTCTCTGTGTGTCTGCCTTTCTCTCTCTCTCTCATGAATAAATAAATAAAATCTTAAAAAAAATAAATAAAAATGACTAAACTCTTAAAAAAACAATATATCCTTTAAGGATGTATACTGAATACTGTCATACTAAGGTCACTTGGAATAATTTTCTGATAATTCAGTAATTTCAGATCACAATTTCAAAATCACAATTTTGACATGAGAGTGTATTTTATACAGCTTAATTGAGATACAGTTCACATGCCATATAGTTCACCCATTGAGTATGTTACACAGTTGATTTTAGTTTATTAAGTAGGAAGTGAAGAAAGTAGGGGCACAATTATAGTATGCAACACCCAAATTCAACCGAATCTGAGATTCCTGGAAAAACCTGTCAGTTACAGAATTGGCCACTTCCTCCCCCGCTGAAACAGGGGCTTGTCAGGGGAGACCGGGGAATAAGTCAGGTGGCCGGACCGGTGGTTGCTCTTGGGGCTGGGAGTGATCTCTGCATGACTTTCAAGGCCAGGTGGTCTCGGACTCAGGATCGAGACTTAATCGCAGATGCAGCCAGACTCAGCAAGATGGCTGCGACCGTGAAGCCCTGGGCAGCGATCCGGGTGTGCATCATAAGCTGCGAGCGGTGGCTCTGACCCCGGTGGAAGCAGTAGAGGCTGTAGGTTAGGGCGGCCGCCGTGCCCAGGCAGCCTATAGGTACCATTGGGTTCTCGCGGGTCTTCCGAAGGAATTTTTCCTTGAAGCTTTCTGGAGTGCTACAGATACTGGGGCTAAAGCCCTCAATGACTGGAGGCTGTGATGGTTCAAAGGGTGCCCCCGGAGTCACAGGGCCAGGAGCCGCCATGTCCCGGGCAACAGCTTTGGGAGAAATCCACAGTCGATGTTTTAAATTGTAAAATACATGTAACAATTTGCCATTTTAATGCTTTAAACATTTTTTAAAAATTTTAATTCCATTATTGTTAGCACAGTGTTATATTAGTTGCAGGTGTACAATACAGTGATTATACACTGCTCATCATGATAACTATATGTCTTTAATCCCCATCACCAAAAAAAAAAAAAAAAATCCCCATCACCTATTTCAGCTATCCCCTCTCCCACTTCCCCTCTGGTAACCATCAGTTTGTTCTTCGTAGTTAAGTCTGTCTCTCTTTTTTTCCATTGCTCATTTGTTTTGTTTCCTAAATTCCACATGAGTGAAATCATATGGTATATTTGTCTCTGACTTATTTCACTACACATTATATATTTTTTTCTTTTTTTTTTTTTTTTAGATTTTATTTACTTAATTCATGAGAGACACAGAGCGAGAGAGGCAGAGACACAGGCAGAGGGAGAAGCAGGCTCCACGCAAGGAGCCCAATGAGGGACTCTATCCCCAGTCTCCAGGATCACATCCTGGGCTGAAGGCGGTGCTAAAACGCTGAGCCACCTGGGCTGCCCTACACATTATATTCTTTAGCTCCATCCATGTTGTTGCAAATGGCAAGATTTCATTCTTTTTTATGGCTTAGTAATACTCCATCTTATAAGTATATGCCGCACCTTTATCTATTTAACTATCAATAGACACTTGGGCAGCTTCCATAATTTACCTTTTGTAAATAATGCGGCAATAAATATAGGGATGTGGGTGTCCCCTTGAATTAGTGTTTTTGTTTTTTTTCCTTTAACTTTTTTTTTTTTTTTTTTTTAGGTTTTATTCATTCCATAGAGTATGCAGATGTGTGCACAAGTGTGGGGGGGAGGGACAGAGGGAGAGAGAGAAGTAGGCTCCCTGGGGAGTGGGAAGCCCAATGCAGAGCCCAATCCCAGGACCCTGGGATGATATCTTGAGCTGAAGGCTAATGGTTAACTGACTGAGCACCCAGGCACCCTTCTGTCTTTTTAAAAATTGTATTATTTTTTGGGGGGGGTGTCATATGAAGGTTTTCTGTATTTTGGATATGTCATTTGCAAATCTCTTCTATTCAGTAGGTTACCTTTTAGTTTTTTGATTGTTTCCTTCACTGCAGAAGCTTTTTATATTGTTGTAGTCCCAGTAGTTTATTTTTGCTTTTATTTCTCTTTTCTCAGGAGATCCGTCTAGGAAAAGGTTGCTATGGCCAGTGTCAGAGAAATTACTTCCTGTGTTCTCTTCTAGGATTTTTTATGGTTTCGGATTTCACATTTAGTTTCTTGATCCATTTTGAATTTATTTTTATGTATCATGTAAGGAAGTCGTCCAGTTTCCTTCTTTTGCATGTAGCTATTTGGGTTTCCCAGCACCATTTGTTGAAGAGACCATCTTTTCCCCCCTGCATATTCTTTCCTTCTTCATTGGAGATTAACTATATTTGGGTTTTCTATTCCCTTCTGTTGATCTGTGTGTCTTTGTCCTAGTACTTTTTTATTTTTTTAAAAAAATTCATTTATTTATTCATGAGAGACACAGAGAGAGAGAGAAAGGCAGAGACATAGGCAGAGGGAGAAGCAGGCTCCATGCAGGGAGCCCGATGTGGGACTCGATCCCGGGATTCCAGGATCACGCCCTGGGCCAAAAGCAGGCGCACTAAACCATTGAGCCACCCAGGCGTCCTTAGTACTAAGCTTTTGATTACTACACTGTAATATAATTTGAAGTCTGGAGTTGTTTATGCCTTTAGTTTTTTTCTAGTCTTTTCCAAGATTGTTTTGGCTATTCAAGGTCTTTTGTGGATGCATACAAATTTTAGGATTGTTTGTTCTGGCCTTTGTGAAAGATGCTGTTGGTATCTTGATAGAGATTGCATTAAATGTGTAGGTAGCTTTGGGTGGTGTTAACATTTTAACAATATTTGTTCTTCCAGTCTGTGAGCTGTCTTTTTTTTCCTGTTGTCTGTAATTTCTTTCATCATTGTTTTAATTTTCATCTCTTAAGTTTATCCCTAGATATTTTTGGTGCAGTTGGAAATGGGATTGTTTTCTTAATTTTTATTTTTGCTGTTTCATATATATTAGTTTATAGAAATGCAATAGATTTCTCTGCATATTGATTTTGTTTTCTTGACTTTAGTGAATTCATTTATCTATCTGTTCCAGTATTTATTTATTTATTTATTTATTTATTTATTTATTTATTTATTTATTTTTATTATTTTTTTTACAATCCTGAGGTCTTTTATTTTCTTTACAGTTATCATGCCATGAATTCATAGGGAATGGGTTCCAGCAGTTCAGGCTCCTTTCCATTGGTTCTCACAAAGTGTGCTCTGGGTGGGGCAGGCTGGCACTTCAGTTGGACCCAAGTACCTTTCTCTTTGGCTTTCTTCTTTTTCTGATCATTTTCCTTCACATGCTTCAGGAAGCTATCTCGCTCCTTGAGTGTTTCATATGCGAAATGAGGACATTAATTCTCTTGGCAAGAATCTTGCCCTTAACTTGTTTGTTTACAACAGTGCCAACAGCATGCTGAGTAATATTGTAGACCCTTACAGTTTTGCCATGGTAACATTTGTGGGGCATTCCTTTTTGAACAGTGCCCATTCCCTTGATGTCCACAATATCACCTTTCTTATAGATTCGCATGTATGTGGCCAAAGGAACAACTCCATGTTTTCTAAAAGGCCTAGAGAACATATAGCGGGTACCTCTCCTCTTTCCCTTTGTGTTGGTCATTTTGGCGAATTACTGGAAGATGGCGGTTCCGGCCGAAAGGAAGCTATTTTTTTATTTTTTACAATTTTATTTATTTATTCATGAGAAACAGAGGGGTAGAGACATGGGCGGAAGGAGAAGCAGGCTCCCTGTGGGGAGCCCCATGTAGGACTCGATTCTGGGACTGTGGGATCATGACCTGAGCCAAAGGCATTCAACTGCTGAGCCACCCAGACATCCCTCAGTTCTAGTAGCTTTTTAGTGGAGTCTGTAATACATGGTATCACATCATCTTCTGATAGTGAAAGTTTACTTCTTTACCAATTTGGATGCCTTTCATTTCTTTTTGTTGTCTTATTTCTGTAATTAAGATTTCCAGGACTGCGTTGAATAACAGTGGTTAGAATGGACATCCTTGTCTTGTTCCTGACCTTAGGGGAAAAGTGCTTAATTTCCCCCCATTGATAATGATGTTGACTGGGGGTTTTTCAGGTAAGGCCTTTATAATGTTGAGATATGTTCTCTTTTAAACCTCTTTGTTGAGGGTTTTTATCATGAATAGGTATTGTACTTTGTCAAATGCTTTATCTGTATCTATTGAAATGATTGTATGGTTTTATCCTTTCTTATTGATGTGGTCTATCACATTGATTTTTAAGTATTGAGCCACTCTTGCATCCTAGTAATCCAACTTGATTGTGGTGAATGATTTTTTTTTAATGTGTTGGATTCAGTTTGCTAGTATTTTGTTGAAGATTTTTGCATGTATGTTCGTCAGAGACAGTGACCTGTAGTTCTCTCTTTTTTTTTTCCTAAAGATTTTATTTATTTATTCATAAGAGCCACAGAGAGTGAGAGAGAAGCAGAGACACAGGCAGATGGATAAGCAGGCTCCATGCAGGAAGCCCAATGTGGGACTCGATCCTGGGACTCCAGGATTATGCCCTGGGCTGAAAGCAGGCGCTAAACCACTGAACTAACTACCCAGGGATCCCCAGTAGTTTTCTTCCTTCAGTGGTGTCTTTATCTACTTTAACTATCAGGGTAATGCTGGCTTCTTAGAATGAATTTGAATTTGGAAGTTTATTTTCTTCTTCTACTTCTTGCAATAGTTGGAGAAGAATAGGTATTAGTTCTTCTTTGAATGTTTGGTAGAATTCTCCTGTGAAGCCATCTGGTCATGTACTTTTGTTTGTTGGGAGTTTTTTTTATTACTGATTCAGTTTCATTGCTGGTAATTAATCTGTTTATATTTTCTATTTCTTCCTGCTTCAGTTTAGGTAGGTTATATGTTTCTAGGAGTTTATCCATTTCTTTTCTCTTTTCTCTTTTCTTTTCTTTTCTTTCTTTTCTTTTCTTTTCTTTTCTTTTCTTTTCTTTTCTTTTCTTTTCTTTTCTTTAAGATTTTATTTATTTATTCATGACAGACACAGAGAGGCAGAGACACAGGCAGAGAGAGAAGCAGGCTCCATGCAGGAAACCTGATGTAGGACTTGATTCCGGGACTCCAGGATCACGCCCTAGGCCAAAGGCAGGTGCTCAACCACTGAGCCACCCAGGCATCCCCTATCCATTTCTTTTAGATGTCCATTTTGTTGGCAGGCAATTTTTCACAATATTGTTAAAATTGTTTATATTTCTGTGGTGGTGTTTGTTGTTTCTCCTCTTTCACTTGTGATTTTGTTTGAGTCCTCCCCCCCCTTTTTTTAAATGAGTTTTTTGGTAGACAGCAGTTTTTTTTTTTTTTTTTTAAGATTTTATTTATTCATGAGAGAGACACAGAAGCAGAGGCAGAGAGAGAAGCAGGCTCCATGCAGGGAGCCCGATGTGGGACTTGATCTTGGGACTGTGGGATCACACCCTGAGGCAAAGGCAGACGCTCAACCACTGAGCCCCCCCCCCCCCCAGGCGCCTAGTTTTGATAATTTAAAAGAATCACATCTTGGTTTCATTGATCTGTTCTATTGTGGTTTTTTTTGTTTTTTAGTTTCTTTAACTTTTCTGTTCTAATCTTCATTATTTTCTTTTGCTTGTTTTGGGCCTTATTTTCCTAGGTCCTTTAGATATAAGGTTACATTGCAGATTTTCTTGTTTCTTGAGGTACACCTGTATTTCTATAAACTTCCCTCTTAGAACCACTTTTGCTACATCCTCAAGATTTTTGGATTTTTTTTTTTAAGATTTTATTTATTTATGAGAGGTGCAGAGGGAGAAGCAGGCTCCATG